GCGCAATAGACAGCTGTCAAAATTACATACGTATATGTCAAAATTAAACGTGTAATTTTGACAGTCGTCTGACTATCTATTGCGCATGTTCGTAAATCATAGGTTCGCTTCGTCGTATTTTTTTCGTGTGTTCCGAAGCACGTAAAAAAAAAAAAGAAATTCTTCCAACCGTCCTGTGACCGACTGTACTGCGCGCGATGTACACACAAGAGCGGTTATTTTGCAACGGCAGTTTTTGAAAACGCGCGGCTCGTCCTACATTCTCGGCCGCGCGAGACACACGCGGGGGCGAGCGAGCGACGCGGTCGCTTCGAAAATCAAATCGGGAGGAATCATTCGGTCTCACCGACTGCGAGAGATGGCTGTGTCGTGCATAATCGGAAGCGAAAATCAATCATTCCGAGTAATAGAGGAATAAAAGGGATGCTTCCTCGAATTGTCGCGTTGCTTCGCAAACCTTTCGTTGCGCGCTGATAAATGCGCCTCTGATAGCACGGAGAGGATTTCCGCCGGGAAGAGTGTATTTCCGCGTTTTATTCGCCGCGATACATCCCGAGGACTTGAAGATACAAATCCCGAGGACCTCATGAACGTGATTGAAAAGCAGCTTTTATCTCGATCGATGTTATCCGGAAGAACATCAATCGACGGTAGGGAGAGGGGGTGCGGGGAGGAGGAGCATCCATGATGAATTATCGCGCGAGGCTGTACAATGGTCCTCTGATTGATTGTACAGCGATCCAAACCACACCTCAGCGGGCCTCGATGGTTTCTGATGAAGAGCCAGATCGAGGATGGAGAATAATTAAGGGTTCGCGCCAAGGGCCAATCAATAGTTCTAACCGGAATGCTCTTTGTCTCGCGTATCAAACCGGAGCGGTTTGCAGTGCGTTGCAAACAATGCGTTCTCGCCGGGCAAAGTAATCGGATTTATCCCGTCTCGTAGCGGAACGTACCGAATTGCAAGATCTGCGAGCCCTTCGATAAATTGAACGTGTCGTACGTGCTGCGCCACTTGTTACGTCCTCGAGCCTAATTTCGCCGAATGCTCCACGTCGAAGTGGCAAAGAGGGGGATGCCGATGGGTGGGAGATAATTATTGATTCAAATCGGGTCAAGGGTGGGTACACCGAAAAGAGAGATGACCTCCAGTGACCGAGAGATAGTTTCGAGAGATCGATTTGTCAGATTGAAAAGTGAACCGTACCGAATAAATAACTGAAACGAAAACCTCGGGTTTTATCCCGCGAAAGTATATCCCGGCTGCCGGACTTAACAAAAGCTCATTTGTGAATTCATTCGAGCTTAACGAACGGAAAAAAACATTAATTATTCGATATCTAAAACATTAATTGTCCCGGGAACAAAGCTTCGCTTGAGCGAATTTACGTTAAATTTTCTTTTTTATCCATCGCGCAAATGGCGATCCGGCGAACGTTGAGGCGTATTTGCGACGCCACGGTGTATGCATGCGCGTTTGTAGTAACTCGCGAATCAAAGCGCCCGACAAAACAATGCAGTTCGGCGAAACATTCGGCCGCGCGCTAAACGTGAAGTCGATACGCTCGCTATCGAGGAGGGAGGGTTGCCCGTGCGATCAGTCATACGGCTGAATTCTCTCGGATCGACTCGCGGTGTGTATCGGCACTTGACAGCCGGGGAACGGTGACAGCTTAGACGGCGTCGCTCATCACGCCCGTTGCGGAAATGACGTCGACATTGGCTTCCGAAGACGACGACGGTGTTAAGATCCGACGGTCGAAACAGCATGTCGCTGCGCTCGTAGGTAAATTGAACGGCGCTCTTACCTGCCGCTTTTCGAGTCACGAGACGACACTGTGACGTCGACGAGCGGACGAAACGACACGATGCAAGTTGTCTTTCTCTTTTTGCATCTTTCTGTAACTCTCTCGTTCCGAGCGTTGGTGGAAAACATGGTGCGGAGGTGCGAAATTTTCAATCCCGCTGATCGATCCGATTTATCGTACCGGTTTTTCTCCCTTTCTCGCGAATCTACGAGGAAAGGCGATCTCGATTAGAAATTGTCATCAGCTGTATTTGATATTATACAAGATTCTATCTAGTTAACGAGGTAACGTTAAATAACGTCTTAATAAGATCTTAATGACGTCTCTAATGTCGATAAAATGTCATTAAGACATCATTTGACGTCACCCTTGTTAACCGGGTAATTAGGTGAGCACAAGGTAATATCCTTAATATGGTGAACCTAATCTGTATTGACAAAAATTGAATAAGGAAGACCTTTGTAAGGTTATAATGATTATAATGATTATGTATATATTATGACCTTAGTGTATCGTCCTAATGTATTACTTTATAAAGTTTTATTGATCAGGTTTTTATCCACTTTTTTCTGGATTTTATCCATTTTACCTATTGTGACTTGCATCAGTTTCTAATACGGACCTTTTTGTAGTAGACCTAATATATAATAGGTTTGATCAATAAACTTTATTTTTATCATTCTTTCCTTAAATATATTTGTTATTTATTTTTAATTTCAAGTTATAACAAAGTTTTGTGATAAATTCATGTATATTTTATATAATCTAATCATTAATTATCTAATCATAATCCTTTCCGTTGTCTGAGGTAAAACGTGGCACAGGTTCAATAGTAGAGCTTGATGAGGGCATTATAGTGAACCCTTATTAAGGCTCTGATTATCACGCAACGTTACATCTTAGGATTCAATAGTATAATCTTAGATGGACAATTAGTTAAGATCAACCGACCTGGATTATGGAGTAAATTTCTGGTCGGGATTTAGATTTTACGTCGCATACGAGAGATAATTGCGCTTTACTTCCTCCTACGGTCATACAATTTTAACTTGTCCGTGCAAACACTCCGCTTTATTTCGGGGAAACCTCAGGACAACGAGGACAACCACGACGACGACCACGAAGAAATTTCTGAGTTTCGGTAAATAGAGTGCGCTATTCTCGAGCGCTTAAGTAAAATTAATTAACGACCTCGGCTGCCGGTTACCAATTAGCGAGTTGGCTAGCGCGACGGCATCGGCGCCAAGGAAGATAAATAAAGAAAATGTCAGCGGGCAACAGCGACAGCTCGGAAAACGCACAGCAAACAATGGCGCTGCGAAAATGCACTCGCCCGTGCGCGCAGGTGGTTGAGCGAGAACGAAATAATTACACAAACTCACCCGCACAATCGAGAAGCGGAGCGCGATGATGAAGAAATGATTAAATTGCCAGGCAGGTGAAACCCGCTCGTGCTTTAAATGTCTCGCTTCCGTCTCATCATATTTCGCGTGAACTCCGGTATCACTTTTTTTCTCCTTCTTTGTTTTTATATCCGGAAAGTTCGCTGACGCGACGTAGCGAAAGTTGACTCGCAAATTTATTCGGATTTCCATAAAAAAAAAAGATATATTAATTATTCGGCGTTTAAGAAACGAAATTAATTTTCTCGGAAACAAAACCTCGTTTCTCGTACGAGAAAGGATTTATTTTACATTTCCATTTCTATGTACACGCTTGCACGCAAGAGCGCACAACTTCTTCATTTCTATGACGATTTCCATCGCCGCTCTGCGCACATCGCGCTGTACTTTTAAATTCGTACTTTTGAACTTTCATCTTATTCGATCAAGAAGAATACAATTGCCCATTTCATCGAATATATATTTTCACACAATATTACTGTACAAAGAAAGAAAATATCTTAGTAAAAATTACTATAAAATTTGGTAATATTGAACTATACGGAATTATGATCGAAATTATTATGTGTGTTGTAATCTTGTGCTGTGTGCAATGAAACGCATCACTAAAAATGACAACAAACATCAGATCCAATTATAATTTTGGTATGATCCAGCAATTAAAAAATTTTGTGGTAATTTTTACTATAATATTTCCTCCGTGCAGGTTTTTTATATGTACGCTCTCCTAGTCGAAAGGAAGCCATTCTGTATTGATAGATATTCTGCATTGAAAGAAGGATATAGTAACAAATATTAAAATTTAATGAATATTTGCCGACCAAATATTTGATTAATGCAACCAAATAATTTAGTTCCGTATACTGTACATACTGTGTGTGTGTGTGTGTGTGTGTGTGTGTGTATGGGTGTGTGTGTATTGCATATTTAATATACAGAATTAAATGATTTGATTGCAGTAATCAAATATTTGGTCGCTAAATATTCACCAAATTTTAATACTTATTACCAAATCCTTTTTGCAGTGTAGTAATACTTGAATATTGATCGACACGACTAAGTACTTGCGATATATTATCGTGAATTTCAACGTACGATCTTCAGAAAAAGTAATATTCTTACGGGTTATTATATATTCAAAGGGTATGCACTACTTCTCTTGATATTCGTTACTTATGAAGTGGAGCATGCAAACACAGTCTTGAATATGCAAGAAGTATCGATCTATATTTTTCTATTACGCTACAAAATATTAAAAACATCCTTAACCCGAAATATATGCACAGTCATGATTCTCCTCCCTTTCTCTTTCACTCTCTCTTTTGCTCTTTCCTTTCGTAAAAAGGCCAATTATTTTCCTGCAAATATAAAAGGCACCGTACATACATAAGATAAAGCGCAACTTTAGCGTTGAATACAAAATACTCGTATGCACAGCGTAGATTCCGATTAGATAAGAATTCGAAGTTGGTTAACCCAAAATAGGTTATCCCTGCAATACCAATAGGGGACTCCATTCTTATCCCAAACATAGGATCAAATCTTTTTTCCGCGATGCAGATTGGCTGTGCGCTGCGCCTTGCTTCGTGCCGCGTGCAACTGTCATTGTCAAAGTCGAATAACTGAAAGATGGATACACATCGCGCGCACAATAATAAATTGCGCGCTAATACATAATATTCCCGAACAATTCCAGCGAGAGACGCGTCCGATCGGCCGCGGTGCACGTGTGTAATAAATTACGCGGAACGAATGTTAAATTGACGAGCCTTTTGTTCCGTAAATTCAGCCTCCCTCGGCGGATTCGCTCTCGGCGTCACGCTCGGTTGGAACTCCAGCGCCGGCGAGGTCCTGCGAGACGTCCTGAACGCGAGCGGCACCGAAATCGGCCTGGTCGGCGGCATCCTGAACGCCGGCGCCTGCGTCGGCGTGATACTCGCCCCTTTCCTTACCAAGTATCTCAGCCGCATCGCAGCCCTGCTCTTGACCACACTAGGATTTACCGTCGGGTGGTCGTTTATCTGCTTCGCCGACCAGAAAGTATGCTTTCACGTGCCGCACCGTTGAGCCCCGAGTCACGCCGAAATGTCGTTCACATGCGATAGCCCGCGCGAGATTAGAACCGGAGTAAATTTGTTCTTTATACAAGACGAGGGATAATAACTGTTACCACCTTGGGTATCCTTGAAATTATGAGAATGGGAGGAAAATTTATGTAACAGAAATTACACGGTACAGAAGCGATCTTCTTATAGTGGTGACGCTTTTTTTTTTCTAGGTGGAGTAGCTTCGAGGATCTCATAGTTTCGAAAATATTCAAGATAGCAATAGTTATTGTCTCATCCTGTATAGCCGGACGGGATCTCGTACGTAAGAGTCCGTGAATTTCGTTGCGCTTCTCGTCCGAACGTTCACTTATATTGAAGTATTGATTATATCTGCTGTCCCTAAGGGATTTCCCTCGTAAATAAATAGAAATAATAATATATCAATTGTTATTATTATTGTGTATAGTTAAGTCCGAAAAGAACTATAATTTCTCTCGGTGAAGATCTCGTTGAGAAAAATTATATTTGAGCAGGAACAGGATTCGAAGAGAGTCGGTGGTAACGAATTGCGAACGACAATTAACCGCGCGATAAATTTTCGAGCGCGACTTAATTCTCTGCCGAATATTTTCGTAGGTTTCGCTGCTCATAATCGGTCGCTTCGTATGCGGCGCGAGCGGTGGCACGTTCTGCATCTTGACGCCGTTTTATATCGCGGAAGTCGCGGACAGGAATTCGCGGGATCGTCTTCTTATGTATTTCCATCTGCTGATCGACTGCGGCATCATGTACGCCTTCGTGATCGCTCATGCGTTGGATGAACGGGACTCCGTATGGAGGTAGTACTAAAGTGATTCGCGTTTAAGAACCTCCCCGTAATAGGAAAAATTCGAATTTTACAACTCAGATAACATTAAAACGTCTTAAAACTAAGATGTCGCGAAGACGTCTTTTGGACGATAAGGACGTCTAAAGGACGTCTCGATTATCGTGTATAATTTAAAAAGGGATTTCTATATTTTGAACTTTGCAATAATATCACGCAACACGGTTACGTCCAAGTTATTTCTAAAGCACTAAAACATTAAGCCTGTTCCACAATAGCATAAAATATGCAGTAAGACATAAGAAGTAAGCTATTATCTCGAATACTGACCAACCGTGGTCGATTATTCTCGAACTGTAAAAATAAAATTGGCCAATTAGTTTACCGCTTACGTCTTACTGCGTACTTCACGATATTGTAGAACGGCCTTTACTTCGTTAACAAAGAACGTAGAACATCAGTAGTGACAAGTCGGCAGAAGTTTTTTGCGCGTAATTAATGGTACTCGTGGGGAACGTGGTTCGTGGCGAATAATTTTCCCGGTCGGGAATTCGAGCTGTACGCTGATTAAAACGGAGTTATCGTGCTCTGTGTACTCGAGCGCGCTAACAAATCGTACGCGATCGCGAGAGTTAATCGAATCGGAAAGTAAATCTCGCCGAAGTTTATGGCGCTATTAATAATGTATCGAATGATTAGGTACAGCCTTATGTGCGCCATAACGTGTCTCATGATCCCACTGATAAATCTACTGCCCGAGAGCCCGCTCAGTTATCTCAGGAAGAACGACGAGGCTAACGCGAAGATTTCTCTAAAATGGTTTCGCGGCCACGCTTACAAGGACGACGTCGAAATGGAGGGGCTAAAGCGTCTCTCTTCTGCGGTTCGCTCGGGAAAGGTAAAATTTACGCTGTGAAAAAAAATATCTAAAATATTCAGTGGGTACTGATAACATATTTACTTAAATCTTCCTCTTCTTCTTTCTCTCTCGAGATGCTTCCACTTGAATAGAATAAACAACCGCTTTCGCGCAAAACAGTACAAATTTTTAAAAAATGTATATTTTAACGATTGAAAAAAATTTTTCTCGTTGTAAAAATATGCATAAAACATATACATTGGTTAAGTAAATGTGTTACTAGTATCCTGAATACATATTTTTTTATTTGGTAACTATCTTTTCTCTCAATGCATCTTTCGGTTTCTCGTGTTAGTTGGTGACGATGGTTAAGACGAATATGCATAAGAAAAAAGGTTTTTTTGGAATTCGATATACGTGTTTATTTGACTTGGGGGTTTTTTTTTTTTTTATGTAAACAATATAATCTAATATCGAGTATCATTTTGCACGCGGAACATGTCTTTCTAATTCCAAGTTTCGGTTATCTCACATGAGAGTCGGATGTAACATTGCTCGGCTTGAAAATCAGAGAGGCTTGCTCGGTATTCACCATGGGTTCAGAACACAGTCCCGCTTCGCCGGCAAAGAACGCAGAGGAACCTGCGAAGGCGGCCGGCTAATCGGCGGGAATTCCTGGGGACGCGTGAGCACGGCGAAATTAGCGATCCTCGAGAGACATTCGCGTAACACACGCGAACTGTCGAAATTCGCGGAAACTGCACACGTGCCGCGGCTCGAACCATTAAACCTTTACGTCTCCGACGGATACGGAATTAATGCTCCATCGCGCGTTCGGCTTTACTACTCGTAGCGCGTCGTACGAGCCCATAAAGAGCTCACAAATACGGATTGCGAGCGTTGTAAAGTAACGCGAGCCGGAGAAACCTCATTTCGGGATTGTAAGCGCTATGAAGTAACGCGAGTTAAGAGGGAAAGACTTATCTCGGAGATTATACGTGCGCTTTTACGCGGCTCCCCCTTCAAATAGGACTCCCCGGCGGGAGATCCTCCCTGCACGTTTGAGCACGACACGTTCGCCGGTGAATCCATAAAAATGTTACCGCGCGTCTATAAAATCGCAAAGAATAAGAAAAACGACGAGACACGCTCCGTCGCGCGGGGGGATCATCCAAGGATCATCAGATATCCGAGGATCGGAGTCGTTCCCCCCGCGAACGGCTCGTGACAGCCCCGAGAGACCACGAGACTCGTTTCCTTCGCAGATCACGAGCATCCTGCGGAACTGGCGCGTCGTTCGGTCCTTCCTCGCATGCTTGTTCGTGTTCCTCACCCAACAATTCAGCGGCGTCACCACCATGCTCTTCTACTCGTTGACGCTCTTCAACGTCGGCGGTTCGGGTTACTTGACCGCGAGCGAGCTCACCGTCGTCCTCGGCGCCGTGCAAATATTGTCCTGTCTCCTAGCGACCGCTCTGATAGACGTGCTCGGACGTAGGATACTGTTGGCCGCATCCTCGACGTTTATGGGATTGTTCCTGATACTGTTAGGTAAACGACTTCCTGCCGCGACGTCCGGTGATCGTACCTCACCGGGTGATGCGCACGCTCTGCCGGGCAAACGCAACCGGGACTTGCTTGTGGGCGCGTCCATTGCGCGGACGCATATCCACGAAACACTCCCGGAAGCGGAGTTTCGGACAGGCGAATGTTCCGCTCGTCTTGCCCCTCGATAAAATCGGCCTTGATGACGAAATATTACTTGTAAAATTGCATTGATTTTATTAAAGAAGAAGAAATTATTTATGGGCCAATAAGTGCCTAAACACCGTATGTCCTGATGCGATATTGAATATTAATTAATCTGGGATTATTCTGGGAATTAAAATGGCCAGCATTTGAGGCATGTAAGGCTAATTGTCTCCCCTGAGGCGTACGATTACCGATTGAAAGAAATGAACACACGTTTAATACACGATTAAATACGTATCTTCCCACAAATAATATTAATATTCAAAATGGCACTGGGACATTCGTGCTCAGGTTCTTACCGATCCACAAATAACTTCATCTCTTTTGGTGAAACTAAAACGGAGCCGTAATTACTGAATATTTTTTTATATTAATTCGTTGTTTATTAAACGTAATTTCTTTCAACTTCTTGAAAAGCAGTTACTTGCAAGATAATATGTAATAATTTTCAAAAAACTATAATGTATTTTGGTAGAGAAATATTGTCGCTTGCATCCATGCACATAAATTTAAATTCTATACTTTCGAGCGCAGGGCTTTACAGCGCAGAAACAAAATGGCATATCGGTTATCTTTTTCCCTCTACTATATATAATTATAATTCGACGATCTCCTCGCTGTTTTTTTCTCACAAGATCCGAGAATGAAACATGCAGCTTTCTCGACTCCATCGGTTACTCGTTCCTCCAAAAAGCGCGCCTCGAAGTCCGTAACTTATCCCGAGAGAGACGAAACAGCCGGAAGTGTTTACAAGTGTTGGGAAAATTCGCAATTTCCTTACGTACCGCGGAAGCAGCTTAACTCCCCCAACGTGCTTTGGTTTTTTGCTTTTCGTTCGTTCCGTTTCGTTTTTCTTCTTTTTTCCTATTTGTTTTCGGTGCATCTTACGAAACGAGAAAGGAGCGGTGCGAGCGCGATACAGAGAGACTCGTAAAGACCGTTTTAATCGCATTGCTATTTACAGATCGCTCGCAACGACGCGAAAATCGCCCGCGATTATTTTGCTCGTAAGAGGAAGAGCGGTACGCGTATCGTGTCGATACATACCGCACAGCCGGCGTTTCGAACACGTGCAATTTTTCAAAGAACCAGTCGCCGTCACATCTGTAACGTGCTTCTACAGCTTTGGCCACGCTCCAACACGGAACACGCTACTTCCGCTTAATAGTACTCCACGCCGCTTCGACACTGCGCACACATTGCGCTGACACACACATACACATACACACATACACACAGACATGCATGTCGGGGCCATTCACACGTTCGCGGCTCGTAAAAAATAGAGAAATCCTCTACCTCTCTCTTTCTCTCTCCCACTCGGGAAGTTACATTCATCTTGATCTGCGAGAATTCACGGCGTGTTGTGACTTTGCGGAAGGCGTCATTTATCAACTAAGAAACAATCCGCACAACGCGCATTACTTCGCGTTCCTTCTTATGTAAGTGCAAAGGGAGCTTCCCTTTCCTTTCGCGAATTCATACGCGGGATAAATCAAAGCTGAGTTCGCCACGCTTTGTTTCGCCGCTGTTACGTGTGCAAATATCGCGGGGGAAAAAATTGGTTGAATTTACCAGGCAGCGAACCAGCAAGCCAAAAGCGTTTCGACCGAAGGAAACAGAATTTCTGGTTCTTATGAATCAAGACCGGTTCTTGTAACCGGAAATTCTGTTTCTCTCGACTATAACGCGTTTGGTTTGTTTATTGTCGAGATACATTTAACTTTTCTTCCGGCACCGCACACTCCAATCTGGTGGAACGTTTCTCCGTTTTTACTTTACGCATGTCATACTACTTTTATCTCAAAATACATATCTGATGTCCGCTACAACGAACGAACGTTACTTTCCTTCAAATCGCATTTGCAAAACCGCTCGAGAATTTTTTCCGAAAACACCCTTTTTATAATAAATTCAATTTAAACCCAAATCACCTTCTCGATCTAATATTATAATAAACATCTTATTTAGACTCTGTACATCCGATTCCCACGTTGCAAGCTGAAAAATATCAATTAGAACGAAAATGACAAGTTTCACGGGCGGGAATGTGGTGAATTAAGGACTCAAAAATAAATGCGCGTGGCTAGGAGTTAACAAGCGAATCGGGACGGGGACAATCGCGCGCGATTCGTATTGTTCCGCCACTCGTTGTCAGAGTGACTCGGTGAATCGAAAGAAGGCAGCAGGTGCGAGCGAAAATGTAGCTAGCCAGTAGAACAAGATAGAACCCGGCCAGACCCGAGGGACCCGTACGCGAACAACACAAGCGGGTCTTGGTCTCTATAGCGGCCAGAGTTTCGTGTTCGATGGTTTATTGATTTTCGCGCACACATCATAGACCGTGAGGGTCCTTGAATAACACTTTCGCTGCTGCGTTTATATTGATAGTCGTTCGCTACAGCCCGCGCTATGTTCTTAGTACTTAATATAACGCGCGTTCACATTTATGCACACACACAAGATGTATCTTGTTTCTTTATCCGTTGTAATTTCCCAAAGAATAAGGGCATTGATCGACCGGGCGAAATGACAAACTGGTCGGACACTGCACTCGACTGGATAATATCCGTTTGTTACTTTTCAATTGGATTATCCGATCAGATATGATTGTACAGTTTCCTCAATGCATATGTCCTGAACAGAAACTTGAATCTTACTCCTTGAGTCTAACTTAGTTTTACATTAAGTGTCCAAAAGTCTTCGACTGTGCTCCTTCAGTGCTACAAACGGGAAAGTTATTGCCGTTTTCTCCACCTGAAGATTCAACACGGAACTAAAATTGAAACTCCGGAGGACTAAATTCCTTTTGTAGCACTAATGGGCCGCTTATTGTGCCCCTTTGATGTTACAAGTGGGAACTTATTTCCGTTTTCTCCACTTGAAGATTTAATGTAGATTTTGAAATTTCGACTGACGCCCGACTGCACCCACCGAGTAAACATCTTTCATCTTTTTAGATATTCTTTCTCTCACCCGCGTCTCGACTCTCCCGCGGAACTGTCTCTGCAGAACATCCCCAATTCCGCGAGTCTCCGAGTCCTTTCCTCCCCTCGCTCGCGAATATTGCAAAGTCAATAACGACGCACGCATCTCTCTCTCTCTCTCTCACGCAGAAGCGTGTGCCCGCAGGTTGGTTCTACGATTTGCGGGAGCAAGATCCGGAATACGACGACATCTACTACTGGATGCCTCCGGCGTGGACGACGTTGTTCTTCGCCGCTTACAACATCGGCGTCGGGCCGATCTCGTGGTCGTTGCTGGGCGACAGCTTCCCGATGGAAGTGAGGGCGACCGGCGCGGCCTGCGCGGCCGCCTTCAACTGGCTGCTGTCTCTGATCGCGACGATGAGCTTCGGCGAGATGCTGGACGCCCTCGGCGTGCCGAGGACCATGTGGCTCTTCGCCGGCTTCTGCTGGCTGGCCGGCGCCCTCTGCGTCCTCCTCGTGAAGGACACCCGCGGCCGCAGTCTGGCCGAGATACAAGGGAGCTTCGGCATCGAGGAACGCCGATGAGTGGAAAGAGACAGCTCCGGGCGGACGCGAAGACGACTATCACGCGGCGACAGCCGCCTCTCCGCCCTCGTCGATATTGAGAAACGAGCGCTCGGCCGCAAGACGAATGTCTTCGGACAAGACGGCCCGATACGGCCGGCCGGTGCCGATGATTTACTAGCCTCTAGATCATTCTCCGCGTCCTGCCCCGGCAACTCGGCCGTTTTATCTCGCGTTTTGACGTAATCTGCAGCGCGCTAGAGCTGTCGGAAGGGCCGTTGCGCGAGCTGAAAATTACGACCTCGTAAATCATGCAAATAAATGCACGCCGTGTCCCACGCGAGCGACGGCGCAACAACGCACCGGATTCGCAGCACGTGCCGGTGAGTAGCGAGAGAGTAATCAACCGTGAAACACCGTGTCTCCGTCGCTCGAATTCGACTAATCGGACGGCCGGCCTCGCAGCGGCGGGACGACGTCGCGAACGTTGACACGTTGTCGAGCGCGTTCGATAAATGCGTCGATCTCGCTGTAAGTCGCCGAACGAAAATACGACGATCCAGCGAGGAAAACGTATCACCTCATTCCGCAATCCGCGATATCGGACGCGGCGGCGTCAGTTGGCGCCGCGCCAGCAAGCGGAGATCCGTCCGTCGTATTTTGTTGCGGCCTGAAATATCGCTAACAGATGTACCAGCGCGACGAGATCTCGCCCATTCGGCCCGTTGACAAAAATAACAGGACGGCCGCGATGGCTGTCGCGGCCGAGATCGAAGGGTAATTTAAAGAGCCCGCCGTGATGTCGAACGCGACCGGAGCGTTGCGAGTCGAACGGAGGCACGTGCGATTCGGCCTAAGTCGTAGTTTCAGTCCTACATTAGGTCCGGTTGGTTCAACATTACGTCTTTAAAGGTCTTCCATTGTGCTCCTTCGATGTAAGAAGTGGAAAGTCAGTGCCGGTTTTCTCCACTTGAAGAGTACTTAACGTAACGAAATTTCGACTCCGAAGAGCTGAATTCCTGTTCGCAGCATTAAAGGAGCACAATAAGTGTTCCCTTGATGCCACAAATGGGAACTTCTTGCCGTTTCCTCCACCTTGAAGATTTAACGTAGGACTAAGTAGACTTAATGTAAAAGTAAAATTTCGACTCGAGCAACAGATACCCGGAGTATCGGGAAAATTTCGTTCTGCGTTAAGTTTAATTAGTTCCAAAGTTAAGTCTTCAAAAGTCTTCTATTGCGTTACCTTGATGTACGCGCTACTTTGTATGTACGACATGGCACGATGACACGCGCATTGTAAACGAGGCAGTTAAGGAAAATATCGGGTTGGTGTTTCAGGATGGGAATGGCCAATTTATTCTGAACGATGCTGCGATATCGGCCGTAATACGAAGTTGCGCGCGGTAGTCAAAGAGAGGAAGAGACCGCGTTCGCTCTCGGCACAGAAAGTCCTGCTTAGATTTTCTTTCGTGTATATTTTCGCCCCGAGGGCGTTCCATTCGCAGCAATGTATACAGGTGTACTTATCCGGCGCGCAGATCAAAAGCGCATTTTTGAGAGGTCAAAGGATACGTCGGCTTCCCTTTATGACAGACTTAAAAATTACTCGACGCATAATTTTCGCGTGAGAGGCTCTTCCTTTCGTCGTACGAACCGGCGGTATTCATCGGTGCGCGTTGAAATTCGATGGACCGGAACTGTATTGCTTTGATCTCGCGGTCACCAATATTTCAGCGTAGCATCGGAACAGCAGAATATTAGAAACATACTTCGCGTTCCGATATGACGGTGAAGTCGCTACAACGTTTAATTGGAGCGTGGCGCGCACGAATCGCGTGCGTTTAATTGAAAAAATCAAGTCGGCGCGTTATACCGATACCGAATTTCGAATTCATCAATCAATACGTTGGCCGAGTTTTGCACGTTCCACTTTTTACGCCACATTTTTTAAGTATGTTGAAATATTTTTAATTTGTTGAAATTTTCACCAACGCAAGCGTATAACGATAAAATGTCGTTATTTCGTGCGATGCGTCTAAATTAAATTAAATTATATCACCGCTGCGCATCATGCGTGGGGAATTTGTTTCACCGAGAGAGTCACCGGCGTTCCCCATGGCATTATTAAAAAGTCAAATCTCGGTGACCGGCCTGGCCAGTGTGATACATTTTTCGATAAAATATGTTTAAAAAATACATGTAGATACATATAGAAATATAGCTTATTATAAATATAAGAATTTAAAGCGTTTTAGAAATTGGTCATCTGTAGTGCCGGCTTTCTTCCATCGAAGAAATTCTGGTAATAGTTGACAAATGCATTTTGGTTGAACGTTTCAGTATAATATCTGGTAATTAGTACCAAGTAATCATAATATTTACCGACTATTTGGTAATAATTACAAAGTAAATAACAGCACGCAATTTTTCATTAAGTTGAACTAATCAAATTATCGGGTAAATAATACCGCATAATTAATAGTAATTATCAAATAGTTCGACGTTTTTACTCAAGTATTTGGTAACTATTATTAAATAACTATGATTAAATAACAAGCCTTGCTAAAATTATTTGTCCGCCAAATTATTCGGTCATGCTTACTATACATTCAGTTGAAACCATTTCACTGAATCATTTGGCAACTATCACCCAGACTTGGTAATTATTACTAAATCTTTTTTCAGTGTACGTCACGCCGGACGATGTAAGTTTCCGCGTAATCTCCTTAGCTACGCGAATCTACATATCTCTGAAAGATAATCAAGAAACGAAGGGGAAGGGAACCTCGCGGTAGAACAACGGTATTGCGATATTACGAAGGAGAAGAAATGCGAAGTTCGAGTTGAGAACTTACTCCTTCTCCCCGGCGGAAACATCGCGAGATGTTAAAGGTAAGGATGTTAAAAATACGCGCTGGTTACACGGTCATTTATTATCTCAAGCACGAACAATGTACGTCTCGCGAAACTGTTATAAAAATAAAAAGAAACGCTCGGGCGACGAGAGAAATCACTACGATGCGTCTTGCGGTGCCGGAGCTTCCACTAGCTGTGCATAAGATTTATAAGGACGCCTATCGCGCGCGACGAGAGTCTGAGAATACAAACGAGAAGCCGCGCAGAGAGGAGGAAGAAAAATACAAATAGGGATAAAGACGCGTTCGTAAGCCGGGTAGCGAGAGAGCTCAGCGAGGCGAGACGGCAAACGAATTTTATAATGCGTCTCTCAAACCATCCGCGTTGTGTCGAAACGATCCTCCGTAAATGTAACTCCCTCCCCCACTCTCTCCCTCTCACCCATTAATCTTCCTCGCCGTATTTCTTCCGGGGACTACCGTGAAACTTACATTTGCAACCACGAGTACATTTATTTCGAGCACGCTCTCCCAGCTGCGATCTCTGGAATTCCAAAGTGACGTCGGCGCATTACCGTGTCCGACGCTTTCGCTCGTTTCATAATTCCCCTCGGCAAACATTATAAACTCAAAGTTAAAAACCCGAAAGTTAAAAGCCAGAGTTAAAACCGACGGCCGATGAAAGAAACGAGCACATATTTGTCGTTCGCTCGTCCCTCTCTCGTTTTTCTTCTTTTTCATTTTCACGCGGCCGACGAAAAATGCAAATTATAGACGTTACCCCACATATTTATTCCGCGCGCTGGGAATTTCACGGGGAGCATCATTTTCAAAACTTGCCGCAACATCCGTCGAGCATTAAAGAGCGCGCGCCCGTACACCCGCTCTCGTGTGTCATTAATTTTACTATCAAAGTTGCCGGAGGATCCTCGAGGAAACTTAGATCGTGTTGCGCACGCGGTGGTGTAATTTAGCGTAAGTCGATATCGTAATCTCCGCGCGAAGTGGCGAATCAAGAACGTCCGATTAAAATTTCAACTCTAAATCCTCTCTCCGCATCAGTGTAGCAGCACCGGCAGCAGTAGCTATCGCAATATTGCGAGATCGCCGAGATCCTCGAAATTTTAGTCCTATTTTAAGTCTACTTCAGTTAATCAAGTCTTCAAAGGTCTTTTATTATGCTTCTTTGATGCTACAAGTAGGAAGTTATTTCCGTTTTTCTCCACTCAATTCACGAGGGTTTCGTTAATATGAACAATGAAAAACTGAAATAAAGACACAATACTAACATAATATAAAGGCATGTAACAGAATGATCGTGGGTAAATAGACTTAATGCGGAACTGTAATTTCGACTCGGGGATATCCTCGCGTAAATAAATGCAATAAGAATCCTCCGGTTCGCGGTGAACGACGAAGTTAACTTTACGAGGTCGTACGTTACGCGTATCATACGCTGAATATTATCGCTTCTTTCCTTATCGACCATCTAGCTCCCGTATTTCCTAAAATACCGGACAGTAATAGCGGCCGGGAAATTTCCGCAAGTGCGCCCCGGGGAACCACTCGTATCGACGATAGACACCGGTGCGATTCAAGAACTTCCGCGCGAAGAATTCAAATGCCTTCGCGATCTTCGGTGAATTGCGGACCGGCACGAAACTCGCGTTACTTACGGCGATTACGTATCGGATTCGAACTTTTAAAATGTTATCTCCTCGCGTAATAAATCTCATCGCGTAATAAATTTTCAAGCGATATAAATTTTACGGTGTGTATATACGAGATGAAGCAATAACTATCGCCGTCTTGAATATTTTCGAAAAGTAAAAATAATTTACTTTTTATATATTCTTGCTTGATTTAAAAATATTTTATTAACGAAGGAATATGTGGGCAACACGAGGAGCCAAAGCACGAATTTCCGGACGAACGAACGCGCCGACAGCCTCCCACGAATGAACCGACTTTTGAATCAAGGCTTAAGTAACATCGTTATAAATTACAATTTCTTGGAAACCCTTACCCGATTGCAGTTGTAGGCAATTTTTTTTTAATTCTAATATCATGTTGTAAAAATTACTGCCTCAACCATAAGTTGAACATGGACCTCTTTCACTGATGCCCGCTTCCATCACAGTTTAATCACCCATCATAGTTTAAATCTAATCGACAATTAACTAAATTGATAAACGGAATCGCATTAGCCTATTAGCTGAACCGTTCGATGCGATTGGTTTAATTAGATTTAAATCAATATGGTAGAATCGAATATAATCGGGCGAGACGTCGTACCAATTCGGCCACCGCGGCCTCGACAGTATTCCTCGCAACAATCAGTGTTACAAACTCGTAAGGATGAATATGCGGGATCGAAATTAAGCATATTTTCCCGCTCATGCTGAGCATCGATTTAATTTTCGAAGATATTCGAGAAATAATTATTACTTCGCCCGATATATTTTTCGGCAACTTGACGAGAAAGAAATCTACCACGCTCATTCTCAGCAAGAGATACATGGATGAAGAGTCCGAGGGGATGAAAACTGTTCGAATTATATAATTTCTCACGAAATACCCGTCGCAGTCGCGAACACGAATGAAGTTAAATTGCCAGACGACCAGTTGCCTACGTGCTATCTTCGGGGGCGCGGCTCGTAATTAGTTGCCAAACGCAGATTAAATTTGCTCCGGAAATTAATCCGATCAGCGCGGGCTATAAGTTGGAAAGTTCCCCGAAACGTATCGTTCGTGCCTCGCCACGAAGCTCGATCTCGATCCCGAGGATCCCGCGAGGACCGCGTTTCCGGTTTTCCGCCGCTCGCCTGCTCGTTCTGCGAAATCTCGCAACGATGTTCACAGTTAATCGGTCCAAATCCGTGAATTCCGACATGAACGCACTTGTGTGACGTGTTCCGCTGGTTCGCCGATGTATAGATTAGCCGCGATGAGTTAAGTTCAGCGGTGCAATTTCCGACGGAGTAGGCGACCGCGTTGGTTTACATCTTGTTTCCCGAGGCGGTAATACGATCCGCTCGCAATTGTACGCATTTCGCTCGCTCGATCGTGCAATGCAATTATTTGACGTTGAGAAACTTTGGAAAACCGGTAAAATTGAAACGAGTGAGCGGCGAAAACGACATTCCGTTGGTTATTTAATATTTCATACATAGTACGCCGATAAAGCTGTCGAGGCTATCTTATTTTCTTTCCTTCCTTCCTCTGCCCTCTCTCTCTCTCTCTCGTTGCTGCAAACGTTTTCCCGGGTTCCTCGCGTTCGAAATATGCAGCTTGAATATTGCGTGAATTTTTTTAACTTTACATAATGTTGCTATGTTTTGCTTATGATTCTAAAAATAGCTCTGCATGTACGATTGTTGACGCACAAACAATCGTCCCGGTTTTCGTAATATCCATGCACGTATCGATGTATAACGTTGCATATTTGAGCACGTATTGAAATAATTTTTTTTTTTTGGAAAGAAAGAGAGAGAAGTTGAACGTCACATCGGTGTTAATTGGCACAGAATATGTACGCTGTATATATTTACTTCTGTGCCGCGTTAATTGTTAATTCATATGATTGTCGTCCAATCTGCGGGCTTTAGAACAGCCGTCGAACAAATTGGCGGAAATCCGATCGATCGATTAGAGAGAAGTACGAGCAAAGCGGCGAGATCGAATATTATTTGGCATTTTATCGTAATTGTGGAAGAGTCAAGAAGCTCTCTCTCTCTCTCTCTCTATCTATCTATTTCCCTTCTTCTCCTGCACTCATCGTTATATTAATTGGATTTGTTTGCCAAACGGCGTCAGGGCGGTGCGCAGCGCAACCGTCTCTAATTTGCAAATTATTACGCGAGCGAGTCCGATCGGAATTACGCGCGAACGGCCAGAAAGGGAATGATCGAAAGCGGATTCGAATAGCATTTAAACGCAACGCTTCATTTATTATGTTGCGCATGTTCAGAGCGGTTGTCCTTTTTTTCTCATCATTTCGACGGTGCCCTTTCACGAATTTGCCGGGCATACGGATGCACGTGAACGGCAACATTATTAGCAATCCCATTTCATCGACGCTCGATGCACTCGCGATTATTAATGGTTTCATAGAGAAGCAATTTTCCCGCGAGCGCGCAAAAAGGGGCCGTGAAGCGTCCCGTCGGGCAAACATCGCTCCTGCTATCAGAAAGACTTGCAAACGCGGACAACTGCGCCGCGATTTTCTCGACCGACGAAACCGTGGAATCCAAGAGTTAAATTGGTATTCGCAATTCCGCGAACGCCAACAAACGAAATATAACTCGCCGGGACTCCCTCGCGAAAAACGTGAGGCGCGACTCGCGGGACGAGTCTATGAGTGGAAAAACATGAAATGCGTTCGTTCGATGTCGATAATAAGAGTGTCTTCCCCGAGTCAAAATTTTAGTTCTATGTTTAAGTCCACTTGGTTCTACGTTAAATTTCCATTAAGCTTTCTATTATGCTTCTTTCATGCTATAAATGGGAAGTTACATCCGTTTTCTCCACTTGAGGACTTAATGTAGGACTAAATGGACTTAATATAGGACTAAAATTTCGACTCTGCGGTTCGAGCTCTGGGGAGCCTCTCTCACGCGAATAAGGAAGCGAACTTCTGCGCGAACGATTCTTGCGCCCGCCAAAGCCGATCTAATTATTTTCCGTGGGCGTCAGCGACTCGTGTTTCAATTATAGGCTGGGGTGCGCAGGTGGGTCAAGTTGACGAAACACTTACTCACGACAAGTGTCCTCGGATATCGCGGCACCTGCGCCACGTGAATAGTGCAGCTGCGGAGGGAAATGGCAGCCGGCTAAGCTCACGAAAGCTCGTATGAATAAAAATATACGAGTATGAGCTTTCTCTCAAAGTCACGGCCGTTTTGCATCCGGCGTTTACATTCACGTTGCCCGAAATGTTCCTCGCCCCTGCTCCCCCCCCCCTCCCTCGAAAATTCTCCCGCAGGAAAGAATCGTCCGATCCAGATCGATATGTCGATACGCCGAGCGCGTCCCTCGAAGATCACGCGAATCGTATTCGGCGCGTCACGTAACAGATCCGTGGTATCCTCCGGCGCTCGTGCCGTCTCCTAAATTCGTCGGGAGCATTGCTGTCCCCTTATCGCGACCTCGTTTTTGCCGCGGCCACGATAATATCTTATTGTTATCACGTTTCTTCCACTCCTCGATATAGTGAAGATTTAGTTAGAGCTCTGAAATCGGCAGGGATTCTCCTTGTTTTGCGCTTGCTATTATGATATCGCCCNCCCCTCTCCCGCCGTGGTAGTCCAAGAGAGAGAGAGAGAGAGAGAGAGAGAGAACTTTCCAAAGAGAGACTGTGAAAAAAAGTACGCTCATCCGGATGAATTATACCGAACGCAAAAGCGAAGGGCGATGTCGTAGGAGGGTGAGGCAGGAAAAAGTATTTATAACGTTGTCATTCGTCATGCTTATGTTGCTTCCAAAATGCTGATATATCGTCTTCCTTCAGAGCATAAACGCCGACGACTGAAACGTTATGTGCACTGTGAAGAAAAGATCCGTCTATGAATCATATTAAAGGCGATAATAATGAAAGTCGTTGTAATAATGAGACATAAGTATAACGCGAGCCTCGTTTACCGCAGGTTTTCCTAAGGATCTCACGTTATACGCGTTATACGCGCGTGACTATTTTTAACGAGTCATAATCGTCCCCGGCTAAATTAGGTAACGGTGGAGTATCCAAAACACCGTCAAACAACTTCTCTCGTTCATTAACCAACCCATCAAACTTCCCATTACCATCTTTGTTACCTTCCGCAACTCGTCTCAGGTATAGTTTCGGCGCCGGCGAGAAGCCGCGCGACAAAATTAGCCAAGGGCCTATATATGAGCAACTGTATCATAATCTCGCTATTATTATCATTCAATTATAATTCGCGAACTTATCTCTTCGCAAACCTCTCGTTTTACAGTCACGTTCGAAGACTTCGAAGTTGGCTCGTTCGATTCGTACCGAAGCTCCGTCGTGTAATAAACACGGTCAGATCACGCAAAATAAATCCATTTCGTGTATTAATTCCGGGCGATCGCGTACCCCCGAAAATAAAATTCAACATTTTATAATTCACTCCTCACGACCCGCGAAAAACGAACGTTCAATTTTAATAAGCGCTCCCTGTGCGACGCAGAGGATTTAATATATCTTCGACGGGCAATGCAAGTTACCGCTTTGAAAGTCAAATATCGAGTGTAACGATTTTATTAACCTTCGTGCGACCAAGTGGGGCGTAACCGCAACCTCCGCCAGTTTTTTCGAGAGCTCGCTCGTACTTCGTACCGCACGGAGGAATGTTTTCATAAAGTTCACAGGCGCTGACAGTAATACGTCGTGAGAAAAAATTTCGTTTTCACAAACACAACAATTGTTAGTCACGTTGAAGAATGATGAAGATAATACGTCGTGAGGAATTTTTGTTTTTATAAGCAACAATTGTTAATCACGTTGAAGAACAATGACTTTGCACGAAGTATCCCAGACATGTGCGAACAATTAATATCGCGCGCAACCCCAGAGAACCACGTTGAAAGCGTCTCGGGTCATATTGAATTCCGGTCGCACAAAAGAAACGGCGGTCTTACGGCATTTGTCTGACTTCGGCTTCTCCGCTGCGAATAAAACGCCGAATAGAAGCCAGCGAAGTTTTATTTTCAGCTCAGATCCTTCAATATTGCCGCATCATAATACTAAACGATACGACACCGGTGTACTTTGTGCAAACGCGCAGGCAAGGAGGGCTTTGAATTGAATTCCTCGACATTCTACGGATGCGACTTTGCGACCGACGATGGAATTCGAAGTAACATCATCACTGTCAATACGTCTTCGCGCTACGTCTCGATGTTAAAAATGCGAATGGAAATTCGAAATTATGGTGCAATCGGCGAATTCGCTAAAATATGTCAGACAGATCGCGTGGAATACGAAAAGTTCAATTGTTAAAATACATTGAAAAAATCGGATAAAAGGAACCAGATCTCAGGGATACGCAAATTTTGTTGCATAAACTGCGATCGAGTCAAATAGAAAAAAAAGTCGAGTCAGGTCGACAATCTGGCATAGAAATTCCAACTACAAAATGAATGAAATAAATGAAATTTAATGAATTGTAAAACGATACACGATAAACGATGAATTGTAAAATTTTGATATCATATTCTAAACCAACTTTTCATAATGGTATTGTACAAGTGTGCGCAAAACACACTTTTTGTGTAAGACTTAATTTTATGTTCTTCAATTTTTTTGATGTGTAATAAAAAATTCAATTATTTTTATGAAGAACTAAATTTTTCTGTACAATTTTTTCATTTTTAATTAGAACATAACTTTTATGTATCACTTTTATTGGAGAAAAACATGAATAATTTTTGTCTTTTTACTTCGAATTATTTTTCTTTGTTTTACCATTTTTGTCATTTTACATACAAAATTTTTTCTCGCTACCAACTGACGAAATTTGTTAATTTCATTACTTTTGTAACAGAAACATCCTAAATAACATTTTTCTACAATATATGAAGTAACGACTTCTGTTGACCATTTCTCTGTATAAAATAAAATTTTTTGAAAATTAAATTATATATCTGTTAAGCTAATTATCTTCACTTCCTTGTAATAATTTGTTAGTTAACTTAGTTAGTTACTTAAGAACTAGTTAGTTACTTAAGAATAAGCTTTTTTAGAGATACGGGGACGCGCGTACTTGGAGTCTTTATTTCTTTATAATTTTCTCCATCCTCCGTGTACAGTAAAAAAATGACACATGTTTTTCACACATGTCTCTTAAAATTCGCACGCAGAAGTGTGGCGGGCGTACGAACACGGCACGAGCCTGTAATAGGCCCATCTCCCATAAATCCGTGTAATGATTCCTCACCATCTCACTTCTCCATAATCGTGCGACGATCACTCCACTTTGCAAAACTGCGCGCCTACCGGAAAAGAAGAAGAAAGAAAGTGAGACATACGCAAACGATCTTGTCGCGGTGATAAAATTTTCGCATTTCTAATCAATTCGCGCTTGCCGAACTTCTCATCGGCAATAAAATTCTTAAATCAATTAAACGAGGGCTCTTTAATATACAATCAATAAGGAAAAAACTCAATAACAGCTAACGCAAAATTTCAATTGAAAAACCCACTTAATCGTAAAAATACGTAACACCAAACGCATGCAGATTCCTACAAACATTGCCCATCCGTTCTACTCTTTATCATATTTCATTTTCACTATTCAGTAGGTTTCGTGCAAATGAGATTTGACTCTTATTAGCTTATCTTTTTTCCTCGTTGATTCTTACCAGTTACCGACTCTATCCAATCTAGATATGCTCCAACACGCGTATTGATAGAAGGTGCGTCCGAAGCGCAACCCGTACCGGCCGATATAATGCCGATCAGTATCACATCATGCGTAGTAGGATTTCGCCACAAAAGTGGCCCGCCGCTGTCCATCTACAAAAGATTCAAAAATTAGAATATGCCATGATTGCGTGATACCTCGTGCACTATATCCTCCGCGTCGACTACCGCGCTGATTTACATTGATTGTATGAGAGCTTGAATCGTTAAGAATATGGCAAAATATATGTAATTATTTCGAGACACACGTCTTCTTCAGATCGTTTTACTGCTTCACCGTTGGTCGTACAAACAATTCTTTTTAAACGCTATCAATTATATTGAATTCTTTAATAAATTCGTTGAGATTTTGCGGAAAACTCAAATTCGATATCATCATAGTGAGGCACAGTTTTATTTTTGTGTTTCTTTTGAATGCCCTCAGAAAACAGTCAATACATCGTTGAATAAAGTTATAACCAACCATAAACAAGTATCGGCTTTGAACCCTTCGCAAAAATCCCTACAAACTTATCGAACAACGTAATATTTTATACTTGATGGGATACGTCGATGACCATCATAAAACACAACGTGGTAACCAACAGAACCTTCCCAAATGCAAAATGAATCTTATCCCTTTACCTGACAAGCGTCTTTTCCTGGGGTGAAAGTACAAATGTGATAGTTTGTTACATATAGTTTGTTATTTGTATTATAATAATTCTTGCATTTCTGAAGGTTGATTACATTCAAATCCACTTCCTGCAGCGTTGTTGCCTTAGTACCGCCAAATTCTAATAGACCCCAGCCTGATTGTTAAGAAAGATTAAAGTACACGCTCACGTGCAATGACAATAAAAATAATCGGTAAATACTAACCCAACACCGTCACGATAGAACCACCAAACGAGTCACATCGATGTTGAAATGGCAGGCAAACTGGACCGACTTTGATACTATATTCTATCGTGCCTTCAATTTTACACACAGCTATGTCGTTCATAATATTGCTGTAATTAGGATGTATTGTACAATCTTGTATACGGTACAGCTTGGCCGCCGAAGTATCGTTACCTATTTGCGAATTAATTCGCAATCTCGTTATAGTCATTCCGTATATCTTCTTTTATAATTTACTTTTATATAAAATATTTTAAGATGTAATACATATTTTAAAGAAAATTTAAGAATATATAGGATGTGGTAAGAACTATTACTACCTTGAATTATTATCTCGATGTAAATTAAAACTTTGTTTTACCTGTAGTAATATCATGATCACCGATAATAACGCCAATTTTACTAAGATTTTTCTCTTCTACGCAATGAGCCGCTGTCACTACATAATTTTCACTTATTATAGTCGCGCCGCAAAACAATTCTCTCTTCCCGCTATCGACGAGACCAGCAATCATGGGATATTCGTTTACACCGGTTTCTTCGCCGCCAACTATTCTGGTCTAAACCGACAACGAAAAGTAACAACAGACAAGTGAATGTCATACGTCCGGCTCCTATTCGCGTTAATGTCTTTAGATGATTTTGTGGAGTACAAAAGATCACAAAGTAAAAGTTTCAGATAATTAATGGAAAAAAAGCGACGAACATGGACTGATTTTTATTATCGTAATACCTTTATTTTTGCCGGATTCTCCCAGCCGCATTGACAATTGTTCTCGTCAAAAGGTTTTTCCGTTTGCATTTGACACAAAAATCGTCCTCCTTGCGTATAATACGACGAATCGAAATATATAGTCACATTTACTCCCTCGTACGTGAAATTATTGTAACCGCAATACTTATTTATGTCTTCTCCGGAAGAACGGATCGAAAGGCTGTCTTGAGCACAATTTTGGCTCTATAAAATAATGCTATGAACCATTTATTCCCTTTGTGATCTATTTCTAATGATTTGATGATCGACGTAAACACTGGACTTAAAAGGTTACAAGATCTTGAAACGCAAGTTTTCATTAACTAGTTAAAAAAATTGCTCTTAAGTACAACTTCTCGGGATGAAATGTTTAAAAAACGACGCGTAAAGATCCTGTAATCCCTTAAATTAGATGATTAAATTACGTTGAGATGCATCCAGTTAGCAGACTCCAGACAATCAGTCTGTATGTCATTCACACAAGCGGAATATGTTTACAACATATCTAACACAACTCACCGCAGGTATTTCAATCTTACATTTGATTTTTGTGATAGAAACACTTATTGTTTGCCATTTACAATGATTTTCATGCATGTATTGATTAGGATACTCTTGATTATACACATAGTACGATTTTCCAGCTTCCAAATATTGCAAATATTTGCATGGTGATTGGGCTACACTCAGCGTCAGAAGAGGTAGAAGTACACCGAACGTTACCACTTTAACTACGACGAAATAATGTTCTCATCATTACCGACATATACGTATAGATCATTTTAAAATTTGAACTAAACTATTTTTATTGAAACAGCAATCTAACTTTACCGTTGTAAAGAGAGTCTGGTTATCAAAGCTTTGCACGAAGTTTGTTGAGATTAATATGGAACCAAGATCTACTTGGCGAATTTTGCTCAGCTCGGTTATACTTATATTCAAGATTGCGGAAAAATAAATATATAGACCTGCTGAAGCGAATCTTTAGATGATAAAACATCGACGATTATTTTTAAATTGAACTTTCAAATCTGTCGAGAGATGTTCAACAGACGTTTGAGAATAACATTATATAATTATTTTTAATTATCCAATATAAATATATCTGGATAAGGCATAATAAGTATTATAATAAGTGTTCATTTTATAATTTACGATTGCATCTCAATGTTTTTCTATCGATATATACACAAACCTATAATGAAGTATATTAAATATTTTTAAAAAATATTTATATGAAATATTTTTATGAAAAAGTGCGTGTACACCAGTAAGAGATCGGACAGAATATACATGAGATGGTATTAATGCACAAAATTATTTTAAATTATTCGTTAACTCAAGCATTTAAATTGGAAATATGGAATAATATTTTAATGTCGCGCAGCTCGTTATCCGATATTTCGCAAGATTCGATGCGCACATAAAGTGCACAAGAGTGCTCCGATTGGCACGATAAACGGATCAAACATTGAAAACATTAAATGATTTTCGATAAAAACGTAAGATACGAAATAAACTATTTCGCGAATGATCAATTTAATAATGTGGCTTTGAACGTCGAGGCTTACACGTGCACTTCATCTTTTTGGGACTTTTCGGAAACTTCCAACGTTGGTACAACGTTGAGACACACCCGCCTGCAACAGCAAGTAACTTTTGCGAATGATCAACCAAATGATTCGCAATATGAAATATATTGTGTTGAACGTTTCCTTGACGAACCGCACAAAAGCGCAATTGTTTCTCGACTGTTTCGCTATTTCGTGTGTTTTCGTGATAACGTGCCACTTGTTTCTGATATCTTAAAAATATCTGCAGTTCAATTTCGTTCCTATTGCATAATAAATAGTGTTCGTAGAAACGGTAAATCGATGGACAGTTATCGATACCGGTAATGGCTTCTTATCAATGCTGTTTAGTACATACCGGATTATCTCTATTTCAGAGTATTCAGATACCCATTTATTACCTAACTTCATACATATCCTAGTCGAAAATAAGGTTTTCGGCGAGCATTCGGCAAGCATGCGTTCAATCGTACGATAAACTGTATAGAAGAATATTCTAAGTCTGATATGAGCGGCCGCGTAATTCGCTGGAAGTTAGCTTGAAACGTTCGGAAAAGGCCGACACAATTCTCTGTGAGCGATCACTATGCATGTACAGAGAAAAAAAATGATCCTTCCGTAATTACGATCATGATTGACGATCACTCTCCACTTTTGAACGGCGCTCGCCGCTGCCAAACCATCGAATGACAAGCAGTGAGTTCAACTGCTATAATGATTTATGCTATAAAATATGTCCTTATGGTGCTAGAACTAAAATTTTGATTCGGGAAAGCGTTCACGAGGTAAACATTACATGTCATGATAACGTGCAGGTAACTTGTGGGAAGCTTTTAATTGATGAACGCATTGCAAAGCAGCAAGTAAACGTGCAAAAAACAATCTTCCAAGTCGGTCTGAATGGTCCAGCAGGCCATATTCAGCTTCCTCCCAACTCACTAGAAACTTCACTCACTGCTTCTTTTTTGTTTGGAATTATTTGAATAGCTCTTTTCTTTACGTGCACAATAACGTTCCTACGTTGCGTAACGTTCCTACGTTACTAACGTTACGACAAATAGCGTTCCTAGAAGCAATAAATCGATAGGCTGCCAACGCCAGTAACTTTGATTGTAAAATGAAGCATCGAATCGATCTAAAATCGACGTCGGGACAATTGAAATTACATTGAAGTGATCAAATCGACGTCTCATTTATCATGCCGTAATAAAATTTAAGGAATTACTGCGAAGTAAATAAGCTTGTAAGTACTCTACCTTGCCGATAAGAAAAAATAATGTAATTGGACAAGATAAAATACATAAATACTAAATAATTATTGAGTAGTATGTTGATAAGAAACTGTAATTGTGTATCGTAATGGTTGTGGTATAGTAAGGAATATCAACATTATTGCGACGGAGTATTTTTTCTTTTCCGATACGTTTTAAGAGTACAACTGTAAAGATGTAGGTGAAATTTACTTCCATAATGTGTTGTAATAATATATTATTGAACGTTTACAAATTCAATGGATCTGATAAGAAAAACATAATGTAATGTATCAAATAAGTAATCAACGTAACATTAAAATATGGAACTGTAAATATACAAAGTGTCCTAGATTGGTATTCATCGTTGCTAAGAAATCTTCAGAAATAATTTCTCTTTATACAGAGTCCGGCTTATCACTATAGCGAATTTTCCCAAATAATACATAACTTTGTAACGGTGCATATTTTATGCACCATTCCGGGCCGCGCAAATCTAACAACCTATACCGCGAAGTTCCGCCGGCGCGCTCGCCGCGTAGTTACCGCGGCAGCGCAATACCGCCGAATAATCGCAATTCGTGCCGATAATTCGCGTAAAGCGGAACCCGCCGAACAGATACGGATGAACACGACAAGTAAACCGATACTCGTTATCGCGTCGAACATACACGAAGAGAACGCCCGAACAACCGCCGCGAATGAACCCGAAGCGCGTTTCAAATTAATACAATTTGTGTTCTGATATTCATTAAAAATACTGGAAATCCATAATATACGTAACATCGAAGTGGCTGACGAACTCCGATAGGAGTGTCGGTAATAAAATCATTGGTAACATTATGTTATGACGTTATCAATGTTATTAGACATATGACATATATGCTTCTGCAGGAGAAACAGAGAACGAAAATAATTGATAGTCGGTCTTTATCTAACTAGGCCTTTTGTTATTACGTTCATATGAGCAATGCATTCATGTGTGTACACATATATTAACATGAAGTCAAACACACGCAGCAACGCCGTTGATGGTAGCCACCGAAACTATATAATGCTTTTTTTCAGCCTGCAATACCGGTAATTTCGCACACATTGACACCTGACTTTCAGGCACATTAGTTTTTTAAACTAGGCTTCTAAGCTTAATTCTAACAGTGAACAATATTTTACAATGCAGTTGGTACCCTAGCTTGATTTTCCTTTTTTCGCATAACCTTAAGCGTCCAACATAACACTTATGTACAATATATTATCTCATTTCTACTCGGCGCAATTTGTTGATTTTACTACTACTGTAGAAGAAACAGACTGTCGGTAACAATTTTTTACAACACTTGAAGCAACGACTTTTGCTCAACATTTCTTCTGTGTAACATTTTTTTGAAAAGTTAAATTAGACATCTGATAAGACTATTATCTTTATTTCTTCCTTACGATTTTTTCGAGTTTTTGCTTAAGAATAATAAATTTCTTTTCGGGGAGTCAGAGGCGTATGTACATGGCCTTTCCTTCTTTAGAATTTACTTTTCAGCGTCAGTGTACAGTGAAAATTCATACATATTTTCTGTGCGTATTCCTTAAAATTCGCACGCGAAAGTGTGGTGCATGTGCGAACGTGGCACGAGCCTGTAATAGGCCCATCTCCCGTAGATCCGTGTAACGATTCCTCACCATCTCACTTTTCCATAATCGTGCGACGATCACTCCACTTTGCAAAATTGCGCGCCTACCAGAAAAGAAGAAGAAAGGAAGTGAGACATACGTGAGCGATCTTGTCGCGGTGATAAAATTCTCGCGTTTCTAATCAATTCTTGCCTGCCGAACTACTTATCGGCAATCAAATTCTTAAATCAATTAAACGAGGACTCTTTAATATACAATCAACAAGGGAAAAAACTCAATAAGAGCCAACGCAAAATTTCAGTTGCGAAACCCATATAATCGTGAAAATAAAAGAAAATACGTAACACGAAACGCGCGCGGATCCCTGCAGAACGTTGCTCATCCGTACCACTCTTTATTATATTTTATTTTCACAATTCAGTAGGTTTCGTGCAAATGAGATTTGGCTCTTATTGACTTTTCCTTGTTGATTCTTACCAGTTACCGACTCTATCCAATCTACATACGCCCCAGCACGCGTATTGACAGAAGGTATGCCCGACCCGCAACCCATACCGGCCGATATAATGCCGGTCAGTACGATATTATGTGTAGTAGGATTTTTCCACAAGAGTGGCCCGCCGCTGTCCATCTACGAAAGATTCGAAAATTAGAATGATCGCGTGATACCTCGTGCGTTATGTCCACCGCGTCGATTACCGCACGTCGACGACCATCATGAAATTCAACCTACAGAAAAATCGATGCAAACGAAATCTTATCCCTTTACCTGACAAGCGTCCTTTTCCGGAGTGAAAGTACAAATGTGATAGTTTGTTACGTTATAATAATTCTTGCATTTCTGAAGGCTGATTACGTTCAAATTCACTCCCTGCAACGTTGTTGCCTTAGTACCGCCAAATTCTAATAGACCCCAGCCTGATCATTAAGAAAGATTAAAGTACAGAGTCACGTGCAATGACAGTAAAAATATTCGGCAAATACTAACCTAACGCCTTCACGATAGAACCACCAAACGAGTCACATCGATGCTGAAATGGCAAGCAAACTGGGCCGACTCTAGCACTATATTGTATTTTGCCGACAATCTGACAAACAGCTATGTCGTTCAAAATATCTTTATAATAGGGGTGTATTGTACAACCTTGCATAAGATACAGCTTGGCCGCCGAAGTGTCGTCACCTGTTTGCAAATTAATGCGAAATCTCGTTATAGTCATTCCATATTTCTTCTTTTATAGTTTACTTTTACATAAAATATTTTAGGATGTAATATGTATTTTAAAGAAAAATTAAAAATATCTAGAATGGGGCAGGAACTATTACTACCTTGAATTATTATCTCGATGTAAATTAAAACTTTGTTTTACCTGTAGTAACATCATGATCACCGACAAGAACGCCAATTTTACTAAGATTTTTCTCTTCTACGCAATGAGCCGCTGTCACTACATAATTTTCACTTATTATAGTCGCGCCGCAATACAATTCTCTCTTCCCGCTATCGACGAGACCAGCCATCATGGGATATTCATTTATACCGGTTTCTTCGCCGCCAACTATTCTGGTCTAAACCGACAACGAAAAGTAACAACAGGCAAGTGAATGTCGTACGTCCGACTCCTATTCGCGTTAATGTCTTTAGATGATTTTGTGGAGTACAAAAGATCACAAAGTAAAAGTTTCAGATAATTAATGGAAAAAAAGCGACGAACATGGACTGATGTTTTTATTATCGTAATACATTTATACTTACCGGATTCTTCCAGCCGCATTGGCAATTGTTCTCGTCAAACGGTTTCTCCGTTTGCATTTGACACAAAAATCGCCCTCCTTGCGTATAATACGACGAATCGAAATATATAGTCACGTTTTCTCCCTCGTACGTGAAATTATTGTAACCGCAATACTTATCTATGTTTCGTCCAGGAGAACGGATCGAAAGGCTATCTTGAGCACAATTTTGGCTCTATAAAATAACGCTATGAACCATTTAATCACTTTGTGATCTATTTCTAATGATGACTTGATGATCGACGTAAACACTTGTCTTAAAATGTTACAAGATCTTGAAAGGAAAGTTTTCATGAACTAGTTTAGAAAATTACTCTTAAGTACAATTTCTCGGGATGAAATGTTTAAAAACCGACGCGTAACAATCTTGCAATCCCTTAAATTAGATGAATAAGTTACGCTGGGATACATCCAGGCTTCAAACAATCTGTCTACGTAATTCACACAAGCGGAATATTTTTACAAAATATTTAACACAACTTACCGCAGGTATTTCAATATTACATTTGATTTTTATGACAGAAAGACTTATTGTTTGCCATGTACAATGATTTTCGTGCATGTATTGATTAGGATACTCCTGATTATACACATAGTACGATTTCCCAGATTCCAAATGTTGCAAATATTTGCATGGTGATTGGGCTACACTCAGCGTCAGAAGAGGTAGAAGTACACCGAACGTTACCACTTTAACTACGACGAAATAATGTTCTCATCATTACCGACATATACGTATAGATCATTTTAAAATTTGAACTAAACTATTTTTATTGAAACAGCAATCTAACTTTACCGTTGTAAAGAGAGTCTGGTTATCAAAGCTTTGCACGAAGTTTGTTGAGATTAATATGGAACCAAGATCTACTTGGCGAATTTTGCTCAACTCGGTTATACTTACATTCAAGATTGCGGCAAAATAAATATACAGACCTGCTGAAGTGGAACTTTAGATGGTAAAACACCGACGATTATTTTTAAATTGAACTTTCAAATCTGTCGAGAGACGTTCAACAGACGTTTAATCGTTACTTTCATGTCGTTTCATAGTAATTTAGCATTTCAACGATTCATTCAAGTAATGTCAAGAAGTTTGCAGAATTTCTTCGTGGAATGTGTTCGAAATCGTGTCACTTGCCGAAAGTTGCAAGAGGAATACCGATCGTCGTTACGCCGTCGCGATCATCTGTCCGTATCGTCACTCTTACACGATATCGAAGCACCTCGCGCTTATATTTTTCGCTGTCGGTGTGAGAAGCATTTGCAACATAATACCTGCTCGCATCGTACATCCGTCGAATGATTCCCGAAGAAATGATTCCTGACTTATTCCGAACCGGACGCCTTAAGAAGGTAACTTGTTCCGTCAAACAACCGCGCTGTAGGAGAAGCGCCTGCTTTTATTCTAACGCGACGATAAAACGGAGCCGAAACTGATAATACCTCGCGAACTGCCTTATCTCGCGGTTATAGCTTGCGAGTGGATTTACTGTCTTCGAAATAGCATAAATGCGAGTCTCACGAGACACGTACATCGTGAATATCTCAGGTGTGCAGAGGTGCTTTTATGAAGCCACACCGTCGTCGGCGAAACCGAGAACGAGATCCAAACCAAAGACGCAATTCTTGCTCGAGATATCGTCGGATCAGCGCCGCGAGATTCGCAGACACTTATTCCGATCTTGTGTGAGCTTAGGTGTCATCTTAATCAGAATACTGAGAAGCCATAATTCTCCGATCGGTTTGTAAGCGAAAACAACTCGAAATACGCAAATTACACTCCTAAATGCGAAACTACATTTTTCATCCGATCTTCGACAAACTTTGCTTTACTTCACTTCAAAACTATATTTTATCATTGATTAATATTAATCGTACAAAAGCTTTCGTATAGAACCGATTGAATTACTAATGATACGAAAAATTACAAATCTGGGTCGAATTCGATTTATAATTATTCTCATGCAAAATTAATCTCGAAATAGATTTATAATTCTCGAATTACAAATTTAATTTCAGATTTAAATTTTATTATTAATTTATACAACAATAATACCACATGGATTACAATAATTTTCTTATCTTGCTAAATTAGTTTATCCTTGTGAGCACTGTTTAGTTAACAATTAACGTTATTATTACTAATAGTATAGTAGTATTAATATTACTAGTAAAGTTGTTATTACTAGTCGTTACGCAAGATCCGACATTGTCGAACGACGTTGTCGTCTTATCTTGCGGATATGTCATGAAAATTAATTCGAGCTGCGATACACACAGTTTTCTCCCCAAGTCCGTAGGTAACTATTTCGTTGTCACAAAAACACGCTAAGTCCTTTCTATGTGAAATTTAATTTTATTTCCTTCAAATTTGTCAAAATGCACCAAAATTTAATTATTTATGAAGAAATAAATTTTTCTGTACAACATAATATTTCTATTCTTAATTAGAATACACACACATAATTTTTTTATATATAATTACTTTATACATATTTTTCGCGCATGTTCTTTAAAATTCGCATACGAAAGTGTGGAGAGCGTATGAACGGTGGCATCAGTCCGTAGCAGATCCATCTCCTGCGGTTTCATATAACGATTCCTCACTGTTTCATTCGTCCACAAATGTGCGATGATCATTCCACTTTGCAAAATTTCTCGCCTACCGAAAAAGAAAACGTAAGAAATAAAGTGAGAGATACATCTATACGCCGGCGATCTTGCTGCGGTGATCAATCGTCGCGTTTCTAACCAACTCGCGCCTGCCGAACTTCTTACCAGGAATCAAATTCTTAAATCAACTAAACGGCCAGGTTCTCTGTTGCACAGTCAACAAGAAAAAGGTCAATAATAGCAACACAAAATTTCACTTGCGAAGACCACTCACAATCGTGAAAATAAAATAAAAATATGTAATAACAATAGACTCTTACAAACGTTGCTTATCCGTGAGTTCCACTCTTTAATGTAGTCTACTCTTTATTTTATTTCATTCTCACGATTGAGTGGATTTCACGCAAGTGAGATTTTGCGTTGGCTCTTATTGACTTCTTTTTCTCGCTGATTCTTACCAGTTACTTTCTCTATCCAATCTACATACGCCCCAACACGTATATTGACAGAGGGTATATTCGAAGCGCAACCCGTACCGGCAGATATAATGCCTGTTAGTACGAGATTACCCGTTCTAGGATTTCGCCATAAGAGTGGTCCGCCGCTGTCCATCTACAAAAGATTCGGAAATTAGAAAATGCCGTGATTACACGAGCCTCGTGCGCTATATTCAACACATTGACCATCGCGTCGATTTGTACTGATTGTACGAGAGTTTGGATGCGTTAAAAATACGATAAAATAAATGTAATTATTTCGAGACGCATGTGTCTTTCAACTCGTTTCATTGCTTCTCTATTGGCCATGTAAACAATTCTCTTTAAACAATGCAATCAATTGTATTGAGTTGTTTGATAAATTCGTAGAGGGATTTTTACGAAAAACTCAAGTTCGACACCATCATAGTCACAGTTTTATTTTTTACGTTTCTTCCGATAAATTGTTACCCTTGAAAAAACAGTCAATATATTATTGAATAAAGTTATGCCAAAGTATGAAAAAGTATCGGCCTTCGCATATATTTCTAAAAGTTTATCGAACAACTCAATACTTAATACTTGATGGGATACATCAGTGACCATCACGAAGTTAACTCACAGACAATCCCTCGATGCAAAAAATTGTGTTTCTTTACCTGACAAGCATCCTTGTTTGGAGTATAAGTACAAAGATGATTGTTTGTTATATAAGGATAAGTTCTTTTGCACTCCTGAAGGCTAATTGCGTTCAAGTCCACTCCATGCAGCACTGACGCCTTAAAACCGCCATCTTCCAGCAGACCCCAGCCTAATCGTTAAAAAGGATTAAAGCGGACAGTCGTGTGCGATGACGATGAAAATGACCGGTAAATACTAACCCAACGCTGTCAAGATAGCACCGTTAAACGAGTCATATTTATGCTGAAATGGTAGGCAAACTGGACCGACTTTGGTACTATATTGTATCGTGCCTTTAATTTTACACACAGCTATGTCGTTTATAACATATGTGTAGTTAGGATGCATTACACAACCTTGTATAAGGTACAGCTTGGCTGCCGAAGTGTCGCGGCCTATTAAGAAAATTATGCAAAATCCCATTATATTGAGTAATTGCGTATTTCTCTTTTTATATTTTATTTTTATAAAAAATATTTTGCGATGCGTTATGTATTCTAGAGGAAAATTAAGAATATACAGGGTGAAAACTATTATCACTTTGAACACGTCAGACGTAAGATACAATTGCATGACTTGACTCCAGAATACCGAAATCGTAAACACTCGCTTTGGTTCTTGAGAAATGATTAGCTCGATGTAAATTATATTAAATTATATTTTATATTAAAATTAAAATTTTATTTTACCTGTTTTAAGATCATGGTCGCCAATAAGAACGCCGAATTTACTAAGATTTCTCCCTTTTATACAATGAGCCGCTGTCACTACAAACTGCTTATTTATTATAGTCGCGCCGCAATACAATTCTTTCTTCTCACTATCGACGAGTCCAGCCATCATGGGATATTCGTTTACACCGGTTTCTTCGCCACCAACTATGGCAGGTTTATACTTGGGCTAAACACATAACGAAAAGTAAAAGCGGACTCTTCGAGTGAACTTTGAACGTCCGACTCTTAGCCACGTTAATGTCTTGAAAAAAAGGGACGAGCAAGGGTCCATGTCCTTATTGTGGAAATACATTCATACTTACCGCATTCTTCCAGCCGCACTTGCAATTGTTGTCAGACTGTTGCTCTGTTCGCATTTGGCACAAAAATCGACCCCCTCGTGAATAATACGTCGAATGGAAAAGTATAGTCACGTTTACTCCCTCGTAATTAAAATTGTTGTAACCGCAATATGTATTTATATTTCGTCCAGAAGATTGAATCGAAAGGCTCTCTCGAGCACAGTTTGTGCTCTATAAAATAACGCGATAAGTCACTTATTCCTTTCTTGTTCTACTTCGCAATAAAAAATTGTGTGTTAATAACGGTTCACTGAAATTTTTGTGTTACTTTAACAAGGTAAATATGTGAAAAAGTAATATGTTAATAACGTGAGCGTGTTAAATTAACATATATTTATGTACTTCTTAACGTGTTCCCCAAATAAACATGAAAAATAACATAAAAATTTCAGTGGGCTGGTTTTTAACAAAAAATTTGTAACTCTAATCTAATGACTATGTTTGTCCATGTAAACACTGAATCTAAGACGGTTAAATTATATTCAAATGCACCCAATTATCTCCATTTCTCTGTGGTGCGTAACTTTCACAAGCAAAATATTTATACAACACGTTTAATGCAACTTACCGGAGGTATTTCAATAGTACAGTTCACCTTTATGGCGGAAAAACTCGTTGCTTGCCATGCACAATACCTCTCGCCCACGTATCGATTAGGATACTCCTGATTATACACATAGTACGTTTTCCCAGGTTCCAAGTGTTGCAAATAGTTACATTGTGACTGACTTTCGCTCAACGACAAAAGAGACAGCAGTAGACCGAATGTTACCACTTTAACTAGGAGGAAATAATATTTTCACCATTACACCGTCGTGCACGTACATAGATCCTCTTAGAATTTAAGCTAAACTATTTTTACTGGAACAGCAATTTAACTTTACCGTTATAACAAGTGCCTGGTTATCAAAGCTTTGCGCGAAGTTTGTCGAGATCAATACGGAAGATCTACTTGGCGAACTTTGCTCAGTTCGGTTATAGTTGCGTTCAAGATCGCGGAAAAATGAATATACAGGCGCATCGAAATGAAACCTTAGACGGCAAAGCGCAGACGATTACTTTTAAATTGAATCTTTCAAATTTGTCGAGAGAAAGAGACGTTCAACAGAAGTTTAATTACTACCTTCGTGTCGTTTCGTAATAATTTAGTAATTCAACCATTCATTTAAATCGTGTCGGAAAGTTTGCGAAATTCCTACGTGGAATGTGTTCGAAACCGTGCGCCACTTGCCGAAAGTTACAAAGGAGATACCGATCGATCGATCGTCGATGTACCGTCGCGATCATTTGCACGTATGGTTGCTCTCGTGTAATATCGAACACCATGCGTATTTTCCGCTATCGGTGTGAAAAGCATTCGCAATATAATACCTGCTCTCATTGTACACCCGTCGAATGATTCCCAGCGAAATGACTACGGACCGAACGCCTTAATAAGTTGACTTATGTCGCCCCGGCAAACAACCACGCGTGGAAGAAGCGGCTGCTTTTATCCTGACGCGAAGATAAGGCGAAGCGGAAACTGATAATACCTGAACTGCCTTATCTCGCTGTTACAGCTCGCGAGCGAATTTACTGTCTTCGGAATAGCATAAGTGCGAATCTCACGAGACGCTCCCGTCGCGAATACCTCAGGTATGCGGAGGTGCTTTTACGAGGCCTCGCCGTTGTCGGCGAAACCGAAAACGAGATCCGAACGAAAACGCAATTCTTGCTCGAGATGCTATCGAATCGGCGCTGCAAGATTCGCAAACACTTTGGTCTACAACCGGTCGTGTTGAGCGTAACTTTTTTATGCTGTTAATCATATTTTATACGTAACTTAATAAAACGCGTAATATTATTACAATATCGATCATCAGTGATCAGCATATTGAACATGTTAATTATCATGATCTCTTTAGAAATAAAATATCATAATGAAAACTATAATATACGTGATAACACTTCCTTGAGGAAGAAAAATTCAGCTTTAACTCGGCCGAAAAGTGTGGCCTTACACGCAAATATTCTTCTCTTCGCTAATTTGTGCATCAATAACATCATGTATATTACAATAATCTTCTTATCTTGTTAAAATAATTTATCCTCTCTGTACTTCTTATGTCGTCAAATTAGTTTAATTTAATTAAATTTAATTAATTTATCCTTATGAACACAGTTTAGTTAATAATACGTATTAGAATGCGTTATGCAACACTCGATATTGTCGTCTTATCATGTAGATATATCGTAAAAATAGAATATTTACCGTCTGTCTCGCGGGTGTGTGATGAATGATCATATTGATTAATATTTCGATTCTTCTCCGCGCAGATGTACTCGGTGTGAAACGTCACCTCGTATCTCTCAGACATGCAAAAGTCGGACAATTAATTGACGTGTAGAAACAGCTGAATAAACCTTTCGCGAATAGTCGCTATTTCGATATTTTATCGAATGAACTTCGAACGTGACACATATTATAAATGTATTTGCTTTCTGATAATTTTGTCACAATTTTGTCAGCTACAGAAAGCCGTTGAACTGTTTTCCTCGAAGTTGCAGCTGTACAGAGACGATTGGATCTTTCCGCGGCTCGAAATGTGATCCGATAACACTATTAAAAATGTCCTTAAAAGTAATAGCGTTTTTGCTAGTAAATTTAAGAACCTTATATTAAGTTTTATAACTTTGAAGATTTCCATAACAGTAGTGTTTATAGTCATAAAATAGTCGTAATATTTCATATTCGTTATAAAATCAAAGAACAAATATAAAATTTAATATTTTTCCGTTTTATATTACATAATTTGTTTTGCTTAGCTTTCATATTCAATTATGACACAACACGTTATGATATATTAGAATTGTTCTAATATTTAATAATACGGAATTTGACAGCGATCTTCTGCGGACGCCTCGGAGACGTCGGACATCTTCGCTCGTTATATGTTCCGACTAAGAAAAGATACCGTTAAAAAAATCCACATTAAATTTAATAATCTAGTTGTGAATTTTTTTTTACCTAATTAAGTTATGAAAACTAATAATTTTTAAATCGATATATAAAGCTGTGAAGAGCTAAGCACAGTTATTATAGTGCCATATTAAATAAATTAAACGCTATTATCAATAGTCAATAATAAGTTTACTAATTAAATAATATTCGAAATAATTAATAATAATTTTTACATAATCAATGATATTACATTTAATAACGTATAGTTATGAAATGACATATTCTGAATCCACTATTCTGGTAATAAAACTTTATAATACTACCATAATACTATAATACTACCATAGTATAATATTACCATAATGGTGTTGTAACGATATAAAGTAAAACGATATAATATAAAATTATTAATGGTATTATAAAATTTCAGTAACACTGTGAGAAATATTAATCTAGATTATAAGTTATTACAATACCATTATGAAAAATGAATTCAGGATATGCCTTTTCATAACTATACGTTATTAAACGTAATATCAAATTGATTATTAATTTTCATAACTTAGTTATATAGAAAAACTTCACATAATCAGATTTTAAATTTAATATTGTTTTTTTAACAGTATATATATATACATATATGTGTTTCCATCGCCCAGAAAATATCGCGCTTGAGTCATTATTTTCGGCCGTAAACGGTTCAAATGTTCTTTCTCGATGAGATAGACGAGAATCTTGTAAACTCGTCTCTTCGTGTCATCTTAAACTTTAAATCGACGTCTTTAGCATTTCGAATTCATCGAGTTCGAGTCAAAGGTATCGCTCGCTCTTTCCGAAATCTCCGCCGCCTGAGACCGTATTTTAAGAGACGTTACAGTTTACTTCGTCCCGACGGAATTCAAGGTGAAAACGAACCCGTTGAGATATGTTCGCGTCGCGACGTATAAATTACGGATTAGTTACTACATTATTCACTATAGCACTCCCGCGCACCTCCCCCCGTTAAAATCCTGCTATAATAAAAATTTATCACCGCCGGATTTAAAAGAGACCTTTCTCTCTCTCTCTCTCTCTCTTTCCTCCTCGATTCTCTTTCTTTCTTTCTCTTTCTTCCTGCGATTGCAATTTTCACGTACCTAGGAAAAACGAAAAGACATTTCTCAGAATCGATTTTCTGAAGAAGTGTCAACAGCAACAAATGCAGTACCTGTTTGTTCTCAATATGGAGAAATCCGGTTTATTGCTCGAAACAAGCCTTTCTAATGATTTCGTGCGACAATCATATATAATCGCAACTCAAGATGAGAGAAAGGAAGAAAGACATCGCGAACATATATGAAGCTGCGTATATGAAGCTGCGTGATTGATATTCGGGAAGTAAATTGGTTGCAAGTATATGATTCAATGATTTATTCAATCCCGCATATATGCATAGGGAATAGATCGTTTCACGGACGATGTTTTCGTTTTCACGAAAAAAGGAGTTAGCTATCCATATAATGCAACTGAAATTTAGTTACCAGATTTTACCAGAATTTAGCTGCCACAGCTAAAGCTTAGATATATGGATGAAAACAATAGATAAATTAGCTAAATTTGAGTTGTATCATACGGGTTTTTAGTTAATTTTTACCTGCGGGACTTAGTTTTTAGCTATGGGAATTAATTCTTTTTTACCGTGTTATCGAGCTTTGCAGACTGTCAAACTGTATGATGCAGTTATGCAAAAACAGGCGCAATATATTACGTAATTTGGTTACAATTGCCTTTTTTAGACTTGTAAAGATCCTACGGGAAATCGGGAAAAAGACGAGCGCGTTCGGATCATCTCGGATAGATGTCGAGATTTTTTTCTCTTTAACAGATGTAACGAGAAAAGTGTGTGTACACGAGTACGTATGAGTAATCGAATCGAAGAGAATATAATTAGGTGTATTAATGCACAAGATTATTTTAAAATATTCGTTATTTAATTTACTCATTTAGATCGGAAATATGGAGAAATATACCAACGTCGCGCGGCGACGTTATCGATATTTTGTCGTAAGATTCGATACACCCGCGCAGTGCACAAGAAATGCTCCGAGCGACACAATAGACGGACCAAGCATTGAATACGCTAAATGATTCTCGATGAAGAAGT